CAGTAAAATGAGATTGTTGAGGGCAATATGCTGACATTGTAAACCATTCAGAGAGTGAGTGTTTTTTTTTACGGTGAGACAGGTCTATCAGGGTAACCTGGTCTACCCAAAAATGGGATGGAGCATACTGCTTCCGCTTTTGCCTTCCAGCTCCAATCCAGGAGCCTTTGCAGACAGTTGCTTTTGCAACAACTATTTTTGTATTGAATTTTATATTTACCAATGAAGAAATAAAGGAAGACTAATATAGATCTATTTTAAGCTATTTAGCTCATCAGCTAGCTATATGCTTCTGGGATTTGAACCTGAATCTTAGAGAGTGCTGAAAAGCACTGTGGAGCAGAATCTAAGTCTACATGCTATTGCTATTCCTTCCGAATCTGTGCATTTATTTAGCTGTTTATTGGATTCTTGCCTTGAAGTTTCTTAATTCCGGTAGAAGTAAATTAGTTTTAATTTATTAGTCTGCTACTTAAACAATGGCCAATTAATAGTTTTCATGTTTTATTTATGTAGCTTTGATTTTGACCCGCTGAGAAGACATACATTTTGGACAATCTCAGTAGGAGGAACATTTACTTGGCTGGGAATTTATGGAGTTAATCAGTCCACAATACAAAGATGCATTTCATGTAAAACAGAAAAGCATGCCAAACTGTAAGTACTGTAGCTTTCAAAGTTAATGTAATTTAAAATTAGAATATAATTATTTTTAATTTTGAAAAGTCTATTAATAACTTTTTTTAATGAACTATCTTATGCATAGTACTTGGGATACAGTAACTGGCCATTGAGAGAAGGCTAGAAGAAAATTCCCTAGTCTTGTGAGGTTTGTGCAGCATGAGAGAGATAAAAAGCTCCCATTCCTGACTTCTGCCTTACAACCTTAACTATTATTTAAATCTAATTTTGACTGTGGTTGCCTTTATTGGTCTTATTGGGGATTTATCATTGCTTTTTTGTGATTTCTTTCGTTTTATTATTTATTTGTATCATAGCTTTATTATTATTTTTTTTACAAACAACTCATATTCATCACACTTTCCTCCTCCTATTTTCCTCACAACAACCCTGTGAGGTGGGTCAGATTAAGAGAGAATGATGGCCCAAGGTGGGACTTGCATTCACCTTCTTCTGCTTTCTACCATGGAGCCTAACACCCTAGACCAAATTAACTCTCTTACCAGCATTGATTGTTGCTTTTTATAATTATTATAATTATTATTTATTTATTTACTCTTTTTATTGCTCTTGTATGTTGCCCAGCATCCTTTGAGACTGATGTCATTTATTAGTACTAGAAAACAAATGAACAATCTTAACAGAGTATCTAGCCACACAGATAGGATTTCAAATATTAAATGTGAAATTCCACTTCCATCTAAATTCACAACAGAGTGAAGGATTATCACTTTCCAAGTTGTTTTCCACACAAATCACATTCATGTATGTCAGGGACAGGGAAAGTTAATAGTACATTTCAAAAAAACTCTCTTGGGCACTGAAAGAGTCGCAGGAAGTAAATACATTATGAAAAGAGCATCTCAAACTACTGGGATTATGTACAAAGGGGCAAATTGTGGACTTCTTTTATTGTGGCACACAGAGAAAGGGTTACATCTTTGCTTCTTTTAACTGTGGTAAGAAACGTCTTGTCAAAAACTAATGTGATAATCATACTCTGAGATAGAATTAAGAATTTTCAGGACACCTTTTTTAAAAATAAAAAGACATGATTTTTTTCTTTATTGAATGATTTCTAATTTATCTTTTTTCTTCTCAGTGCACTTTACCTTAATTTGGTGGGATTATGGGCCATCCTGGTGTGTGCAGTTCTCTGTGGATTGGTGATGTATTCCTTTTTTATGAGCTGTGATCCTTGGACTGCAGATTTCATTTCAGCACCAGATCAGGTAAATAAATTATTTAAAATTGTAAACAGAGAAGTGTTCTGTGATTGGAATTGCTCTTTAAATGCAGCTGTGCTGAACTCAGTGGTGCAGGATTATTTGAGTATTTCTGCAACATTTTTTAATGACGTGCAAATGGAGGGACTTGACATGGGGACATTTGTAAATACTCCTGTTGAGATCTATGTTCCATGTGCAGCAATTAAAAAGGAAGAGGAACAATAACAACAAAATAATTAGTGCATATATTTTTTATATGCTGCATAGTTATTTCATGTGAGATGGACAATCATATAAATATGATTAATAAATAAGTAGAACCAGCAAGAAAGCACATTAATAGCTACTAAAAGCAAGTGTTCTTACTTATATACTGCCCCATAGTACTTTACAGCACTCTCTGTGTAGTTTGCAATGTCAGCATATTGCCCCCAACAATCTGGGTCCTCATTTTACCCAACTCAGAAGGATAGAAGGCTGAATCAATATTGAGCCCCACCAGGGTCGAATTCCAGGATGTGGGCAGAGTCTAAAAGCTCTGGTCTAACAGCAGAAGAGCATAAAAGATCTATATGAGTTAGATAATTAGTCCATTTAGCTTAGTGAAGAAGGACAATGGAAAGTCAATGGGCAATAATATTCTTTGTGGCTTGAAACCCTACTAAGTTGTCCTTATTTCTTGGAGAGTGTTGATGGGCAGCGATTAATATTTATATGTATTTATTTGTTAGGGTGTAGGAATATACCTATGTATTTGTATAGAATATCTATATGTGTGTTATATATGTGTACACTTTTAAAAGCAGGCAACAGAATTTCATTTTTAATGTGTGCCAGAATGCCCATCAGGAAAAAAATGACTATAAAGGCTATCTTATCTTATCTTCTTTTTAAAGCTTTTTTCCCCAAGTATAATGTTTTTCTTTATAAAAATTCAAAAATTGGAGAGGATATGATAAACCCCAAATTCTGGTTATACCTCTTCTGGTTGATGTCCTAGCATTTTTTTAATCTACCGCAAAGAATGGTGGGCAAATTAAAGAGAAGGAAGACAGTTTATCTGTAGACAATTTATCTACACCTGGTAGCAATTTTCTCAGGATGGGATCTCCATTGCCAGGAAGTGGTGAAGATTGATCTTTCAGCATGTAGGTATTCCTCTCTCCATTATCGTATCCCCATCACTTTGATCTTGCATTGTGTACCTAAGATAGAATTGGTATGGGGGAATTATCACTTTATAGGTCATATTTCTTCTTGATGAATCAGCCACCATACAGGCTGTCCAATGTGTCCATTCCCTCTTGAAATCTAGACCCTACGCTCACCATGTTACAGGAACAAAGGCCCTCTGCCCCTTAGCTTCATTTATTTCACTGGAAAATGAAGCACAGAGGTGTCTTCCTTTGTGCACATGATGGTGCTCTTTACCCTGAAATTTGTGGAGTTCAAGAGATCAGTCTATATTTGCATTAAGGTTGCTCTGTATAGCAAGAGTGTTCCTAATCTTCTTTTTCTCCTTTTTTCTCTCTCCAGTTAATGCCATATTTTGTGATGATAATATTTTCATCGGCTCCTGGACTTCCAGGCCTATTTGTTGCATGTGCATTCAGTGGAACACTAAGGTCTGTCCTATGCTGGATTTAATGGAGGTGTGTCAAACCAAGTGGAAGGGAATGAAGTTTTTGAAAAGCTGCCTTGTGTCCTTCCTTTCCTCTTCCTACAATGAAATGCTGCCCACTCTTTGCCTTTCTCAGTGCAAAGCCTGCAGGGAACTTGACAGACAGATTATCTTCTCTTTCTAAATTTATTTTAAAAACATGGTATCATCTATGTGCTGTTAGATTATGTGTGTGTGTGCGTGCTACATGCATTCGATAATGTATGTGCCATACATTAGAGTATTAGCATTAATTATTCTTTAAGAAATCAGAAAATCAGAAGGCCAGGATGAGTACAGGCGATTTGAGGCAAAGGCTGCTTATTCTTAGGAATAGAATAATGTCTCATTTGTAATAGGAACATTAGTTATTCCATCAATTCCTTGTTCCTTGGAAGATGTTGCATTTGTAGGATTGGGAGGGAGGCAAAAAAGAAAGAGATTTTTGGAAGAAGCTGGAAGGAAAACTAAAATAGATAAAATGTAATAATATGTTGACTATCTTAATGCTTCCATTTTTCCTTGAAGGTAACTATTTAAGTATCCTCCGTAAAACTATCCAGAGATCTTAGTAAACTTTATTCACACCGTCATGAGACCCAGCTTGGTGAGACCATGAGTTTCTTCCTTTAGGCACAAAGCCAACTGAGTGATCTTGGGTCATTCACCCTCAGTGTTAGGAATGTTGCCAAGAAGTTGCTAGAAATCAACACCAATTCAAAAGAAACAAACAAGAACAACAACAAAGAAACAAATTATACCTCCTTGCACAACATTTTCATGTATGAAAACTCTTTTGACACTGTAGCATTAATGTCATTGCATGATCACATAATCAGTTACTGTGTGAAGAGTTTAACCATTCAAGTAATGGAAGCAGAACTTCTGTTTATATAAAAAAGGGATAACTGTGCTAATGTAAAATATTTCCATGTTTATTGCAATAGAAGTCATATATGCCAGGTCCTCCCTGAAGGAAGAAAAGAGAGCCATGGAAAAGCAATGTGAGATGCATAAATAGTAAAAAAAATATCCAGCAACAAGAATGCTCTATGCACAAAAATGACCAGATACTTTAATTCCCATAAGGGATGACTGACTGCAAAAGCTGATGGAGTTA